GCTACACTCTTAAAACCATGGCAAAACAGGTACACTGACATGGCTCCGCATCAGTGTAGACATAAAATGACAATAGATTTAGGCTGATACATTGGTCTCAGGTGATTGGTTCAGGGAAGTCAGTTGGAGTGGTCAGGCTGGAGATGGAAACGGAGTGCAACAAGTTGACAATTCTGATATCTGGCAATGACATTTTGGATGACAAACTTATTTGCTTTCTTGCTGAGAGTTCGATGTGCAGAATAAAACCACATCCAAATCTGTTTATTAAATACTGTATAAGGGTAAAGCCAGCAGTCAGTTAGCTTAACATAAAGACTGTTAACAGGAAAACAGCTGACCTTGCTCTGTCAAAAGGTAGAAAATATATGCCTACCAACACCTATCAAGCTTTAGCTATACAAACTATTTCTTGGCAGGCTCACGAAGGGTAGTCATTGCACCCCAAACAGAAACCCCAGATAGTGAGAGGCTAACTGTTTACCCGTTTCCAGTCTTTATGCTAAGCTAAGATACCAGGCTGCTCACATTAAGCATACAGATGTGAAAATGCTATTGATCTTCTCAGTTAACTCCTAGCAAGATATCCCAAAATGTGAAATTATTCCTTTCAGTAAACAAAAAAATGGAACGATTAATCAGATAAAAAGCTATGCATCATAGACTGGCCCATTTTCAGATCTCTAAGGCCATCTTAGAATAAAATCATCACTTTGGTTACTGGGAAATTCAACAAAATCATAATGACAAAGATGTTTTAAAATATTGCTGCTCAGCATTCGGTTTAGCAATACAAGTCTCAGTGGGAGCCAACAGATTTAAACAACCATGCAACAATAACGCAGAGAGATACAAAGAGATGTGCACATTTAGGTAACATTGGACCGAGTCATCTCACCTGGGGTCTCCACCCTCTGGTAGTGGTAGGGGTTGATGCAGACTTCATCCTTCTTTAGGTGGAAGGCATACTCACAGGCCTCAATGGCGCGCAACTCGTGGTGGCTGTGGAGGTCTGGCCATCGCCACAAGCGACAGTAGATAACATGGGGAAGCCCCTTCCTGTGGGAGACCTGCAGGCGGCCATCCAGGGATCTGATTGAACAGCAAACAGGAGATGGTGGTGAGATGGGCAGAAGGCACACAGGGAAGAGGGGGTGAAACATAATAATATGGCCAGGTAGGGGAGGGAAATGGAAATGGATTGGATTGAGTGGAGACGAGAATGAGAAACAAAGATGTTCTCAATGTCCGTCACCTCAAACATTGTAATGACAACTCTCCCACATCAAAGTTGTATGCAACACCATACAATAGTTGAGGATAGTCACCTGGTTTGGTCAGGGTAGCTGTAAAGGCCTGATGTATCCCACTGTTCTATCGTATTTGGTGTACTCAGTCCCCATATTTCAGAGCAATTGCTGTGCACAGAGAAAACAACAAAACAAAAACAAAAAACAAATGATAAACATGGGACATGGCTCATTCAGAAGTATCAGTATGGGTAACGTGAACACTAAAAGGCCTCTTTTATTAGAGTCGTATGGCAAAATAAAAACATCAAATTCATTTTGTGGAAATAAAAGATGGGACCTTCAAATAAGAGAAGCCTTTTTGACAGAATTAAGGAAAAAAACATAACATGGAATCTGCTAACACACACAATGAGTGAGACAGAGAGCATTCTTCAACAGTGGCATTGCATCAAACACTTTTTCACTACAGTCGTTTATGTCAGAACTTATCTGGAGACATTCAAACTAACACTGAAGACACACAATGACACAAAAGAGAGGGAAAGGGAGGAGGCAACCTTGGGGGAAAAATATCCATTTTCAGACATTCTCAAAACATTCACAAGAAAATGGACAAAACATAAGAAATTAAAGAACTTGAAATGAAGACAAATGAGAGTTGTTGCTTCTGAATAACAGGACAATAACAAATTCTGCATGTTAAATGCTACAAATACACAACAAAATGTACTACACTCAATTACTTTGGTGGGATCTCAACTACTATTCAAAATTACAATCGTCTGATTCATGACAGGGCAGGAAACCAACTTTTGTCCACCAGCCACAGCTGCTTGTAGATCCAGTTATCAGATATTTGTTCCTGCAGGAAACTAGGTGTTTAGAGTATAATCAATCTAAATGTTGAATGGGTACCTGCCAATGTAGCAAGCAGGGTAAATGCTAAGCTCCCCAATCACAATTGAAACGCACCAACATAAGTATGGCTGGTGGCAATGCCCCAATCTGGCATTATTTTGAGTTTGTAACCCACCCTCTCTTATGTAGATGTATCCTCTACATCTCCAGTCCTCTACAAGAAATTATTTCATTCAGATTGAGCCAGCCATTGTATCTCTACAAACATAACAGTGCGGCCTAGAACAATTCCCAGGCGATAACAACCACTCCGCTATCTATAGACATACAAATACCTGACGTGGTACTTGGCGGCACATCAGTGAGGAATGACTCTGTTAACACAGTGTTCCCACTGAACATGAGTCTGGGCCATCAAGGCTGGCTGGCTGATAAAGTAAAAATCGTCTCTCACCCTTTTAATGTCTCTCTCCCCGTGAGTGTAATACAAGTTATCTGACTGTACATGCAGTAGTAAACAAACAGTGATTTAATTAATTTTCAGCTCACCTTTTATGAGCAAGTCATGTTCTACTATTTTGCATCCCTAAATAAACTTTGTAGCATTGTCATCAGATTTACATTTGGTAATAATTGCAGGAAATTATTGAAACAGGATAAAGAAAGGAAAAGTGTAACATCACCACCTACAACCAGCCCAAGGTTTCATGGTTTTATATTGTAAAGATGTCTCAACTAAACACACTTGCAGAGACACTGGTAACTGTTACAGCTTTTTCTCTGACCCTAGTCTGAACAGCAATCAAGTGTTGGGCAGTATACCTGGGGATGGTGACACACTTGGTGTTGCAGTTCTGTGTGGTGATAGCTTTCTCCAGCTCATCTAGCTGGCCTGTCTTCTTTAGTTTCTTCACTAAGCTCTTCACAGCCTTCTCACACCATTTCTCCTCTTGCCCATTCTGTTCTCCACCGCCTGCTCCGCCCGGGCCGCTGGTCGACTTCTTCCAGCCCAACAGCCTCTTCACCACAGGAGGGGTGAATGGCAAGATGGAGGACATCTTAGCTGGGCAAGCCGGGAGTCTCCAGAGGACTCAACACAAGCTCTCACACACAGACTGAGGGGACCTGGAGCTACAGTTTGGGCCCTTGCTCTGATGGGGCCCCTCTAGTGACCAGTGAGTCACAGGGTGGAAGCCAGTGCTAGCAGGGTTTACTCAAAAGAGGTGGACACCTTGGGAGAGAGTCACACACAAAGTACATCATTACAAACAAAACATGGTATAGAAAAACAATCACGATTAGGCTCATCAAAACAATACAAGACATGATGCTCATAACTCAATGAAATTTTAACTATTAAATAAAACAGCCAGATTGTTTTGACAGCAGCATCTTTCACGTTAAATAAATGTGTAATAAATTTCACCGAATACTTAATAAAGTTGAGCATTTGGTGAGTTGAGCAGGCAGAGATGTCCACTTGACGTTAGCTTGTCACATACACTGCTCGACATCCAGACTAGCTAACATGCAAACTTATAAAGTTAACACACGGGGTGTGCCTCATACTGACGCATTATGCGTATAAATCCAAATACGACAGATACTAAAATACATACTGAATACCACAAATGAACGCTGCTAAATGAACATGAACAACGAGAGTGTTTTGTGAGAGGCCCCCCAGTGCTAACACCAACTGGCTTGGAAGGCCGGCTGCTAGCTACCTGGTAGGGGGGCCTGCTTTACTCAAATCACAACAATAAGTTCACTAGCATTAGCTTGCTGAGTGACGAGCAGCAAAATGCTGAAATGGTCTTAGCTAAAAATTAAAAACTATAGTTAACATAACTAGGAAGATCGGAGGGAATTCATGGAGAAGTCCCCATCTAGCTAGGTCAGCTAACGTTAGCTAGCTTAACCGAGCTAGCTGCCAGCTTGTTATCAAAAATCCTTTTGTTGTGATCCACAAAAAACCTCCTATGCGCAACAGTCAAGTCGCGGCACTTCGCTACCTAATGTCAGCTTGTCAAATAAACTCAGGCTATAATTAACCAAATGACACAAACTGTGGTTTCATGAATTCAAACACTCTTGTGTTTTATTTCAATGTAGCTATTGAATGTTTGTGACTTTTATTAATACACAAACACGGCAGAAAATGAGTTAGCATCTTGGACGAACTCTTCCAAACTGAGCCCTGGCTCCCGCTGGCTAACGGACCTACATCTCTCACACAAAACAACATGCTTCAAAGTCCAGAAAACAGCTAAAAGCAATTTGATAGTTACCCCAGTTTTAAAGTCCAAAGCTCCGCGTTTTGAGTAAAAGATGTGCACAGCCCTCTAAACACCTTGTTGACATAAAAATGCTTGAACTGTATTGTGCTGCGGCTAATTTTGACAAGGCTTGTGGGCTCCTCTCAAGTTGCTACCAGTGCTACTGAAGCTAGTTTGCTAGGTTAGGTAGACCGGAACAACAAAACAAACATGATGGCTACGTAGGCGCTCTTAATCCCTCCTTTTCAAAAACTGATTGGAGGATTATAAGAAAACGCACTCTGAATACTGGCTAATGTCCTTGACAATCCTTATTGATTATTTGACAGCATGGGTTTATGTCTGTCATTCAGAGAGATTTGGAGGCAAAAGCTATTTTTATTCTGCATTTTCACAGAATATTACGTCATTATTTCCATTTTCAACAAAATACAACAGTAGATTAACAGCAATATACATATATATATATATATATATATATATATATGCCTACAGGATGTCACAGTCAGTTATAGTTATTTCTTATCTGAGGAGGTTCAATATGAGTTTTAATGTGGCAACCATCAGTAGCTCCTCCCCTCACTCAGGTGTGTAATTAGGTTGTATTGGCCTCACCTGGTGTCATTATAAAATGATACACTTTGGCACTTGGCAGCTTTTGGTCCGTTTTATTTTATCTGTGGCGATGGGTGGATGTTTGTTTCTCGGTGTAGTCTTATTGCAGTTGTCAGGGCCCTTGCGAGGTGAGCCAGCTGTACAAAAAATTGCTTTTACATCATCTGCAAACATGACCCGATTAGACTTCATGCTTTATAATTTATCCAGAGGAATGTTTCTCAGTTCAGACGCTGAGTGAAGGATGCATTATCAGCTATATGTTTTATTTTTATTTTATTTAACTTTAGCAATGGTTGACAGTTTGTCCTCTTCTGCTCTCTTGATCTAAACAGTTGTTTCAGCTGAAAGCACTCCTTTGAAGTGTGGCCTGGGCTCTAAAATGTGCAAGGATGGCTCAGAGTGTGTCCTCTACAGCCATGTTTGCGATGGAGAGCATGACTGCAAGGATGGTTCAGATGAAGAGGACTGTGCATCAGGGTGCAATGAAGGTACTGGACTTGAAGTCATAATACTTATGTGCATTGCTAAAATTTATGGCCATCACTGAAAAGAGTTTAGAGGTCAAGTTAGATGGGATTTGAATTTTCATTTGGCGTAAATCAAATGCATGTCTTGTGTGATATTGATTTTTTTTTTTTTTTTTTTTTTTTTTTTTTTAAATTATCCAAATTAGCAAATTACTGTGAATCAAAATCTAATGTGTGTACTTGGCTCTTTAATGTTCAAGAACCTTGAGGATGAAGTTTAAAAAAAACAAAAAAAAAACACCTCCATCCTCAAGAGAGAATGGAAATTTTCCAGTACACAATGGATTAAGTCTTAAAATGAATTGAATGACTTGTGTTCATTCATAAAGCCTAACTGCAGCGGAAACACTTGAGTCTGTAAAAAGCTAAATTCTTTCAGAATAAACAGGCCAAAAATGGAGTCAGTTGGTAGTTAGCTAAAACCGATAGTCTTGCACAACAACCCTGGAATAAATCCTGCCTTCATTAATGTTCAGTTTTTTATATCCTCAAGGATAGTGTCCCTGTATTATGCAATACAACTCAATAGCGCCACAAACTGCAGCCTCCAAATGATCATATAGTTGAGTCAACACCTTTCAGATAGTTCAAACAAAACTGAACATTAAAACCTTCATGAAGGTACAATTTATTGCAAAACTGTGTTTGAGACTACATTAATTTCAGCTGGGTGTGCCTGATAAACTGGAAAATGAGTAAATATCATCAAACTAAGTCACCATTTCACTGTTTGAATATGCTATTTGGCTCCAGTTAAACATGTCATCAGTTTAATTGCACGCAAAAATTGTAAACTTTGTTTTGAGGAAAACCATGGCTTGTCTCATAATGTCAAATGCCTGCATCTGAACAGATCAGTTCCAGTGTGCTCATGGGAAAAAATGTATAGACAAGGACCAGGTGTGTGATGGTATACCTCACTGTCAGGACCGTTCTGATGAAATGCAGTGTGCACAGCAAACTGAGGGCTGTTTTCACTACTGTGACAACAAGAGTCGTTGCATACCTGCAAACTTCATTTGCGATGGAGAGAAGGACTGCTCGGATGGCACAGATGAAGCCAACTGTGGTAGGTTGAAATGATCAGAGGATATAGTAGATCTCTCGCAGGAGATAATCGCATACATATCTCACTCTTGCATAATATGCATCATACTGTTTACCCACTTTATCTGGCATCTGCATCAGAGGACCAAGAGGAAGACAGACATGAGAGGGAAGATGGGACCAGTCCAATCTCTGTGCTTGCTCCCTCCGCCAGCTCATCCACTCCTGTGAAATGTCATTTGGGCTCTAAACCCTGCAAGGACAACAAAGAGTGTGTCCTCTACAACCATGTCTGTGATGGAGAAAAAGACTGCGCAGATGGCTCTGATGAGGAAGAATGTTTATCAGCATGTGAAACGGGTAATCTGGTGGTTGGTTTGTTTGGCTGTAAACTCCTGTATGTGGGTGAAGAATGACTTTACTGCCCTCTAGTGGGTAAAGTTAGTCTTTGTTTTATCACAGAATCTTTTCTTTTAAATGCATTAAATGTGCAGGATGTTGGTGCAGAGACAGTAATTTGGCTCACTGACATAAAGTGAGGGTCACTGGTAAATGGAACCATATTGGCCTAGATGTAGTCAAAAACAAAGGTCTTTATTGTCATTGGAGTGCATCCTCACTGCAAAGAAGTAATGTTATGCAAAACATTCCAAGGTAGGGGAGACAGGGGATGATTACAACACTTTTTGTTTGAGTGTAACTCAGTGGGTTTTTTTGTTAGAGCTCTTAAATTTTGATACGTGGTACCCATATTTGTCTGCTATAAATAACACACACTTTGACCTCTACTACACCATCACAGATTATGGAAATTAATGTCAAATACAAAGAGGTATATTGTTACAACGCACCCCAGTACCGGGGTGAGTTGTAACACTAGCTGGGGATGGATGTAACAATTAAATTATTGTGCTTAAAAAAGATTCACAGTAGGCTAAATGTATTCAAGCACTTTAATGAATGAATAAGAAGGAACAATAAACTTGTAAGAATACAATAATTATAATAAAATAAATAGAAATGTATAACATAAATAAAAAAAATAATTGTAGCCTGAATGAGGTTGATGTTTGAACAGCATTTTAACAGTTGAACAATAAATACTTTCGAAGAGTTACAACCCTCCCCATGCCTAGCAGCCATGAAAAAGCTAACCGTTTTTAGCATTTAGCTTCAAAGCTAGCACTAATGAAACACATCAAATTAAACTAGAGAAACTACTACTTGAACCTATGTAAGTGAAACAATTGTACATACAACACAATGGACACATGCCAAAAACAACTGATGAAAATGTTTGGTTTCTCACCTGAAAAACTGTTTTTTGGCTCTAGAACAGACAAATTTGGACTCAGAGACATGCGGCTTCACCAGTGAGCTCCAATTGTAAATGGGCATGGACTATATTGATGTCACCACAGCTCATTTCTAATTGGCCAAACTGAGTGTGTTACAACTATCCCTTTGTTACAACCATCCCCGATCTCCCCTAGTGAACATAAATAAAGAGCATCATGTATGACAACAGAGTTAATATAGTGTGTAGAGGAAGAGCCTTGATATTTGGGTTATGTTCACAAGATTATTTCTGCCATGTGTCCTCTGCAGACCAGTTCCAGTGTGCACATGGAAAGAAGTGCATAGAGCAGAGCCAGGTGTGTGACGGTGTGCCTCAGTGTCAGGACCGCTCAGATGAACTGGGATGTGCCAAGCGGATGGAGGGCTGTGCTCACCAATGTGACGACAAGAGCCGCTGCATTCCTAACAGCTTCCTCTGTGATGGGGAGAGGGACTGTTTGGATGGCAGTGATGAGGCAAACTGTGGTATGCTGTCATTGAAAAAGGAAATGAATATCTACTCACTGTGTATTCAGCTCTGCTTGTATGGTTCACCTTTGTGATGGTATCTCTGCCCTCCCCCCAGTTGACGGGGCCTGCAGTGCCACGGAGTTCAAGTGCACCAGTGGCCAGTGTGTGTCGGACACAATGCTTTGCGATGGTCACCCAGACTGCTGGGATCGCTCAGATGAGGAGAGCTGCACCAACGCACCGGTCTGCCCCACCAAACACCGCTGCCCCCAGAGCAAGGAGTGTCTGGTGCAGGAGTGGATCTGTGATGGAGATCAGGACTGCAAAGATGGCACTGATGAAAAGGTGGATGTTGAAGGCAACACCACAAGTTTGTTGGGCAAAAGTAGACATTAAAGTAGACATCTTTTGAACTTCGTCTTAAGCATTAGTCTTTCAGGGACAACAGAAATACAATCCTAAAAATCCAAGTGTTGTCTGTATTGGACCTTTGTCATAGACCATATTTACTTGTAGTGGTTTACAGTGAGCCACTGGGATGGTCTAAACATATACACGGCCTATCCATGTATATGGCCTCAATTTTCAAATCAAAATTTAGAACTGTCAAGTACCACTTTGGATTGCAGTAAAATAATCCATTTGTACCTCCTCAGGATTGTCCCGTGGCTCCACTGAACTGTGGTGAGTTCCAGTGGTTGTGTAAATCCAAAAGCAAGTGTATCCCTACAGCCTGGAGGTGTGATGGCATGAAGGACTGTGACGAAGGCAGTGACGAGACTGAATGTGAGTGGTTATACATTATATAATATATACACTATAAAACGCAGAAAAAGTTGTTTACCCTATGGTGAAAAGAAATTAAATGATGCTCAAGTGAAATGAATCGCAGCCATGTAACTGCAACATCTCTGGTTCAAATCCAGCTTATCCCTCTTTATTCCCAGGTTTCCTGTCTTTGTTTGCTATCTAATGAAGTCAAAAATGCCAAAAAGTAAAGGAACTATATGTGACATTCAGAGCATGGCAAACAACTATTTGCTGTAAAGATATAGTGGCATCCTGAGCAGAGAATGAAGTCACACTACTTCTGCATGTGTTGTAATCAGATTTTCTGTCTGTTATTGTGGTAGATGGTAATGTACATGTGAGTCTGTGTATCCAACTGGCTAGCTACTCGCTGCCACTCTGCACTGTGAGTACACAGTGGTTACCATTGATGCTGTCCCTGCTGTGGCAGGGCAGTGTTGTCGCGTAAGCATAGTGCTCACCCTCTGGTTCCCTCCTCTGTTAACTCACGTAGCTCTGTAAGCACAGTTGCCACTGTTGGCGCTATTCATGCTGTTAGCACTGTTAGCTCCTAGTCACCAGCTCAGCCACCTCCATGTTGAGTCGTGTGCAGGCAATTATGGCTCGGACTCTCAATCATAGATATGCTCTGAAGGTCGCGTACAGCTCCTTTAAAGTGATATTTGTAGTGTGGAAAAAGGAATACCTTTTATCGATAGTAAAACACTTAAACATTCAACTGTTCTTGTTTGTTAACTTTTCAGTAAAGGGTTTTTCTTATTCCAAAAGAATTTTGTATTAAATATGAAACTGAGTGTGTGTGCATACCAGGTGGAATGGTGACATGCCTCCCTCACCAGTTCCAGTGTGGCAGCCAGGAGTGCCTGGATCCCGTCCAGGTGTGTAACAGCATTACCAACTGCGCAGACGGCTCAGACGAGGGCGGTAGCTGCCAGATCACTTGCGCAGACGCAGATAACAGCCGCTGCTCCCAGAGCTGCTACAGCACACCACAGGGAACGGTGAGGACCCCTGTATCTCATATTCTGCGTGTGCTTGACGTTAACCAGTTTAAGGTCCAGTGTGTACGATTTAGGGGCATGTGTCAGCAGAAATTAAACATAATAAAATGGTTTTCATGAATTTAGAATCACCTGAAAATAAGAATCGTGTTTTCCTTACCTTAGAATGAGCTGTTTATCTACATACCGAGTGGGTCCTCTTCATGGAGTCTGCCATGTTGCTCTACAGTAGCCCAGAATGGACAAATCAAACACTGGCTCTAGATAGAGCCATTTGTGTTTTTGCTTCGGACATGGTGGTTCTCCAACATACTTGATACACAGGAGGAGTTACAGTTCTGCAACCTCACTGCTAGATGCCACTAAATCCTACAAACTAGACCTTAAATCAAAGTCATATGCTTGTTGGTGGCATAAAATGTAAAAATAAAGATAAAGAAATGCAGTAGAGACTGAACTTTTAATGTAGCAGTACAATGTAAAGTTTCTGAGACCATTCTGAACAAATTAAATAAGTAAATGTGTGTGAGTGTCATGACTATGCTCTCTTACCTTCTGAATGTGTGATGTAAATGTTGCAGCTCCTCTAACACTTGATCTTGCTGTGTAGCGTTGTCACTGTGCAGCAGGGTTCACGCTAATGAAGGACGGGCTGACCTGTGTTGATATTGATGAGTGTGAAGGCCAGAGCTCAGGTGTGTGCAGTCAGCTGTGCATCAACACTCCAGGCTCATATCAATGTGACTGTCACCCAGGCTACATAATGGAGGCAGATGGACACCACTGCAAGATCACCGGTAAAGTCCTTTTAATAGACTATACCATTTGGTAGGCCATAGCCCAGTGTTTGAGCGGGGCACATCATAAAAACTTAAGGAACAGTTTGATATTCTGGGAAATGCTCTTCTCATACAACTCACTTTCTTGCTGTGTACGTCTGTCCGTTAAATATGACTCTACAGCCAAGAGGAGTTTAGCATAAAGACAGGAAATGGCTAGCCTGGTTAAGTCAGAAGATGAGAAAATCCACCAAATTAGTATATCTTGGCACCAAAAAAGTGGGAGATTATCAAGTTGCCATTTATGTGCCAGACTATTTCTTGGCCAGGTGCACTGACTTGAGATCTGTGTACCTTTGGGACTGAGCCATGCTCAGCAAAGATGACTGTCTCCTGGCTATAGTTTCATATTAATAGACATGAGAAGTGATGTCAGTCTTTTCATCTTAAGGCAAGAAAGCAGCGCCTTTTTAAAAAAAAAAAAAAAAAAAAAAAAGTCTTTAAATACATTGTCGTGACATGTGGACAGAGTACTCTTTACACTATATTACCACTTCCTTCCATTCCACCACTTTTAAAATGCTATGTCCTACACTCATGTCTCGCTTGGACCAAGGCTACACTGCCCCCATGATTTCTGGGGGTCCTGTTCCGTTTCGTCTATTCGTAGGCTTTTGGAAAACATGCACAAATAGGGACAATAAATGCAGAGTATGATCAGAGGGCTCCTTATGTGTCTGTATATGTATCCAATGTTGAACATAAATGAGCCTTGAGACTATGAAAATCAATGTATTGGATATGAATCATTTTTATAGAACAATCATTTCAGCACTGCTGTTCAAAAAAATGCATCTACATCTACTTATTTTAAAGGAGTTTTATTCAATATTCAGAGCATATCTATGATTCAGAGGTTGTCTGCACCCAGCTCTCAGCCATGAGAGGGCACACTGAATGAGTCCAAAAATAACCATTGGCACCATAATGTTGTTTTTCTCACCCTTTAGGTGAACCCTTCCTGCTGTCATCAGTCCAAACGGACCTCTTCTTGTTTGGCCTGCGCAGTGGCAGCCTTGATGTGTTGTCCTCCTCCGCCAAGAAGGCCATCCTCTCCTTGGACTATGACTGGAGGGACCAGAGGGTCTTTTGGGTCAGTCTGGACACTGAGAGCATCAGGTGGTCCTCGCTGGACCAGAAAACCACAGGAACTCTTATTAAAGGTTGTTGCAACACAAATGTGATTGGAGTATTTTAAGTGACTGACATCTACATTTTTGATTATTGAATGTACTGTCATGCATAAGGATGCCTCCTCATGACACACGACACCATATGTTTCCACAGGTGTCCGGGCTGATTCTGTTGCTGTGGACTGGCTCGGGAGGAACCTGTACTGGATTGACGGAGTGAATAGTCAGATTGTTGCCATTAGACTAACCACAGATACTGTCAAATCGCTGGACCACAGCGTCATCCTGGATGAAGACCTGGATCAGCCTCGCTCTCTCGCACTGCTGCCACAAAAAGGGTCAGCATTACTTTATTTCACTGTCCAAATTGTTCCACAATGTTTGTGAAAACCTTTTTAAGACTAGTATTGAGTCTTTTCATTTTTCTACCAGACTGATGTTCTGGACAGAGATTGGTAATGTAGTGAAGATAGAGCGTGCTGGGATGGACGGGTCAGAGAGGAAGGCAGTAGTAAACTCGAGTCTGGGCTGGCCAGGCGGTGTGGCTGTAGACACCATCTCTGACAGAGTCTACTGGACGGATGAAAGGCTGAGGGCGATTGGATCTGCAACACTGGATGGAGATGACATTCAGGTAAAACATTTTGGACTCAACACTAAATCTACCAGCAAAACGTCAACCTACCTTCCTTAAAACTACAGGGTACCCTACAAGTGGCGCCTACTGGGAGGTTTCTTTTTCCTAAAACGGACCAAGCATAAATAGATTAGACTTAATGTAAAAAAATGGCAAGATATAAAGTCAAGTACCTAAATGTCATTTTCAGATTCTACAGATGAAAGAGACCACCAACCCGTTCTCCCTGGCAGTGTTCAATGACATGCTCTACTGGTCTGATGCTAAGAAGCGAGTGGTGCTGGCTGCCCATAAAATCTCTGGCAAAAACCAACAAGTTCTCCTGAAAAGACCCAGACAACCTTTTGGTGTGAAAGTGAGTGAAATGTTCAGAATAAGGTGAAAGTGAAAAAATGGGGTATTGGTATAATTGTATAATAGACATTGTAACTAAATTTCAATACCTGTGTGTGACGTGCTCACAGCAGCTTGCCATATTTCCGACACACAGCTGTGACATTGCATGTTTGAAGCCTTCCACTTATGAAAATAATAATATAAAAAATATGAAAAACCATTCTGGCACAGTTCTGGGAGATGATAAAAACCTGAGGCCGTTGATGGAAAAATGGCAAAACTGGTGTTTGAATTAAATAATACATGTACCAAATACTGAATGTAGCATTTAATTTTTTATCTATTTATTTTTTTTTTTTTAATCAGCACAAATTATAAGGATTCAAAAAACATTTATAAAACATGTTCCTGTTCTGTTTGGTTTGCAGATCATCCACCCATTGCTCCAGATGGGCATTGAGAGTCCCTGTGAGAAGATAGACTGTTCCCACATGTGTGTGTTGGCCCCGGGACCCAAGGCTGTGTGCAAGTGTCCCTCTGGCCTTTTACTGGCTGAGGATGGCCTGACCTGCTCTAGCTCAGTCAATTCAGCATTCCTGCTGATGCTGTCTCCCTCCACCGTCACCCAGGTTTTTTCTTTGATGCATACCAGGTCGAATTTGTTTTAACAGAACAGACTTTAAAGGAAATGTTGGACATTTTGGGAAATGCATAATTTGTGCCTTTTTTGGCATGTATTTGCACCTGGGTGAGTGACTAGAATTAGGGCAAAGAGAGCATGGTTAGGGCTGGTATTGGCCAATCTTGTAAATTCACTGAGATTAAAGTGGTAAATTTTCGAGAAATTGCAAATGTCCTACCAGAAAGTAGGTTGACTTATTAATAAAGGGTGACGCAGTCCTTGGAGGAAAAAGGTGTGTTTGGTGAGTGGGTTAAACACAGGAGGCCGGGGTTGAGTCCTGTGTGAATAAAAATTGACAATATTTTTAGAATTGGCTGACCTATTATCAGTTTTTAGCATGTATAAAACTGCTGAATGTAGACTGTGTGAATAGCCACATTGGCTATATACACCTGGGTGTAAATAGCATTTCTGGCTATAGGACACCTGGGTGCTAATAGCATCTGCCTGTTTTTTGCTGAGTGTTGGATGACAGGATTGATACCACTCTTATCTATGATAACTATAAAGCTGCAATCGGTTAGCTTAGCACGAAGACTGGAAACTGGGGGAAATGATTAACTTGCTTTTGAAGGAAACAAAATCCACTTACCACCAGCACCTAAAGCCCTAAAACATTAACAAGTCATGATGTTTGTTAAATTTGTACAAAAGTGTAAAATTAAATTCCCTGCTGTAATGAAGGGTTATTTGCCAGACTATTTCCTGGTCAGGAGCAGTTGTTAATGGTGGTACTTGCCAAGAAGTGATCATAACCCTATGTTAAACAGAAAATTGTCGGTTTTACACTTTCACATTTTATGTCTTGATTTTAAAAAAAAAAAAAAAAAAAAAAAAAACATGATCATGTGCTGGCAAGCAAATTCACTTACTTTATGAACAAGCCAGTCAGTTTGCCCCAGTTAAACTAAACAGTGGCTGCTTGCTCCAGCTATGTTTTAAGTGCATGTCCCAAAATGTTGAACTAAGCCTTTCAGGTCCAGTGTGACAAATTTAGAGGGATATATTGGAAGAAATTGACAATAATATAATAAGTAGCCTAGGTTTTCTTTTGCATATAAATGACCTGGAAATGAGACTTGTTGTGCATTTTCTTTACCTCAGAATGAGCCATTTAGATTTACATAGGAAGCGGGTCCTCATTTATGGATTTTGCCATGTTTCTACAATAGTGAAAGTTTATTCTGTATTCATATTTTACACTTGAATGTATTTTAAATCTCCAATTATCTCCGTAGATCTACTTGCAGTCCCGACACACAGCAGCAGAGCTGAAGGGCTGGCCTGAACACCTGGCCCTGCAGGTGCCCAGTGTCAATGAAGCAGCCATCATTGACTACAGCCTTCGTGACCACACCCTGTTCTTGACAGATGACGGCACAACTTCACTCAGCTCCTTCAAGCTGAGGGACTCAGACTTGTCCTCTCAGGGCCAGCTCCTAAAACTCCTGGGCAACACCATTACCGCCATGGCTCTGGACTGGGTAACACTTAACATCTACTGGAGCAGCGACAAACAGCCTCGCCTGCAGGTCACCTCCATCACAGGTGCACACACTGCTGTTCTCATAAAAGATGGTATTGGCAGAGTGGAATCCATTGCCCTCCACCCTCCCAGTGGAAGGGTTTGTTTCACCAATGTGGGCCTGCAGGGTACGGGTACTGTGGCTACTGTTGAGTGTGCCAACATGGATGGTGCTGGGCGGAGTGTGGTGTGGAAGGATGCTGTCCAGCCAACATCTCTGGTCTTCTCCAATACTGGGGATACAATTTACTGGGCTGACGTGGGTAAGATGCTTTTATAAATTTGGCTCGAGTTGGGAAGTTTTTGTTGAAGGCTTTTATGTAGGCTAATAATGGTTTAGAAAAGCAGTAACATAGCTTGGATTCTTGCCCAGATTTAGGGACCATCGGCACTGTCCAACTTGATGGATCTGGATACAGAGAGCTGAAGACCGGTGATGGCCTGGCTGCTGTGGCTCTGAGTGATGACGCACTGCTGTGGATGACTGTCAGTGGTAATGGCTCATTTAGTATGTAATAAATACAATGATACTGATGCCATGTTGTGTGTACCAAATACCAGGAGGTGGTGCTGTTAAACATCATAACTTTACCTTATATAATGTCTTTACTATATATTTTTCTATGCATCAGTAGGTGAAGACACACAAGACAATAATGCATTACAAAGTCTAAAAAAAAAATCAGTCAAATCTGACTGTCCTGATTGGTGTCACGCTATGAGTTGCAAGTTGCAAACATCTTGGAACCCTGACACACCAAGCTGGCATTGTTAATATTGGGTGTCAGTGAGCATCGGTCGGGTAGTTTTTGCAGTGTGGCCTGCATCGTTGGCACTAGCTGGCCCTTGTAGGCTGTTTTTCGGCCAATTCAGCATATTGAATCAACATCAGAGCTGGGGGAGCCCATCAGTGAGAGGAATCACTGATCGCTTTCCTCACTTCTGTTACTCTTCTTTTGCACTGAGCTAAACTGCCAATCAAATGACGAAAGTCAAGAGGGCATGAGATGGAAATAAACTTGTTATATCAGTAAGAATATTTTTTTAGCCATTGAGAGCATCAGCAGAAATGGTCTGCTAGTGAACAATAACATAAAAGTCTGAGCAGTTTCTGCTAAAGAGTTAAATGGCTAAAAAAAGAAACTGAAATATAACAAGTTTGTTCCGATCTTGCACCCTCTTGACTTAAGTTTACTTTATTTGCTTTTCTCACTTCCATTACTCTTCTCATGTACTTAGCTGAAGTGCCAACCGAAGCGATTTCTCTCACCAATGGGCTCCATCTGCTCTGATGCCGATTCAATGTAGGGGAGACTGGGGATGGTTGTAATAAAGGGATAGTTGTAACACTCTCAGTTTGGCCAATTAGAAATGAGTTGTGGTGACATCATCAATGCAGTCCATGCCCATTTACAATTGGAGCTCACTGGTGAAGCCGCATGTTTCTGAGTCCAAATTTGTCTGTTCTAGAGCCAAAAAACAGTTTTTCAGGTGAGAAACCAAACATTTTCATCACAATTGTTTTTTTGCATAATGTCCATTGTGTTCAATGTACAATTGTTTCACTTACATAGGTTCAAGTAGTAGTTTCTCTAGTTTAATTTGATGTCTCATTACTGCTAGCTTTGAAGCTAAACGCTAAAAACGGTTAGCTCTTTCATGGCTGCTAAGCATGGGGAGGGTTGTAGCAGTTCTTAAAAAGTGTGGATTTTGGGCCCACGAAGCCTGCACCCCAGGCTAGAACATCTACATTTGCCACAACTGCCAATCAGATTAAAAATAGGCTATAGGTATTATGCTTTGGTTTACTCAGATAATAGTTACTCTTCAAAAGTGTTTATTGTTCAGCTGTTCAAATGCTGTTCAAACGTCAACCTTTTTTGTATTTGTTATACATTTGTTTATTTTAATATTATAATTATAGTATTCTTACAAGTTTATTGTTCCTTATTATTCATTGAAGTGCTTGAATGCATTTAGCCTATTGTGAATCTTTTTTAAGCACAATAATTTATTTGTTACATCCATCCCCAGCTAGTGTTACAACTCACCCCGGTACTGGGGTACGTTGTAACAATATACCTCTTTGTATTTGACATTAATTTCCATAATATGTGATGGTGTAGTAAAGGTCAAAGTGTGTGTTATTTATAGCAGACAAATATGGGTACCACGTATCAAAATTTAAGAGCTCTAACAAAAAAAAACAGTGAGTTACACTTGCTCAAACAAAAAGTGTTACAATCATCCCCGGTCTCCCCTACTGAATGCCAGCAGTTTGGGACCCACTGCAAAAACAAGGGCAACAGACACTTACTGACCGATGACCGACTGTCTGTTTGATGTTCCAGGGCCTTTAGATTTCTAATATATCTTCATGACTTTGTGTCGGCCCTTTCCCTCAGACAAGACCAGGCTCTGGTACAGTGATGAACAGCAGCAAAACAAGTTGTGGTTTGAGGTCGGCACAGAAGTGGTCAGCTTAAAGGCATTCAGCAAGTCCAGTCAGACTGGTACGTAAGTTCTGATGGTCTTTCAGAGGGCATTTTTAATATGATGTTTGGCACTAGGTGACACTGACCATTACAAACTCCAATGAACTAATGATCTGCTGAACTATTTTTTGCAGGTTCAAACCAGTGCGCAGAAAACAATGGAAACTGCCAGCACTTATGTCTTGCCACCCCAGAGGGTCGGACATGCAAGTGTGCCCACGACTACATCCCTGTGAATGCTACCCACTGTGGTCCAGAGCAGAGCTGCCCAGGTGGCACCAGGCCCTGTCTGGATCAACTCTCATGTCAGCCTGTTGAGAAGTTCTGTGACAAGCACATTGACTGCTATGACCACTCAGATGAGAACTGTGAGTCTTTATCTTATACCTTTTTTAAAAGCAATAAGAGCTGTTATCTAAAATGGCATATGTTTTTAGCTGAAACGTTCATCTTTCCTCAGGTGTCACTCTGAAGCAGAGGTCAAGAGCAAAGGTCCTTGCTCCCACCCAACCCCACAGCTCATCTCCTCCTCGTCCGTCCCCTCCTTCTCCTCTCTCTGAAGACACTGGCCCGAACACCACCCTAAATGTCAGAAGTCAGCTCATGAACCTGGATGCCCAGCAGTGCAGCCAGAAACGCTGCAGTGGTAACGGCCGCTGTGTGGAGGTCAATGGAGAAACTGCATGTGTGTGTGCACTGGGCTACAGTGGTGATTCCTGTCAAGACAATCTCCTAAAGACCATGCAGGGTCCCATTATATACGCTGCTGTGGGGCTCTGTGCAGGAGTGGTGGTTATTGCTGTGATGGCAGTGGTGGTTAAGAGGAAGAAGAGCGCCAACACAAGGTTTGTCTGATTACTAATTAAGAGGAAAACCTTCCTGTTACAACACTGACATGTTGACGTAGTCTGTAACTTGAAATTTTAAAGCCAAGACATGAACATTTTTAAACAAGATGAAAACTCTAGTGGCCCTGTGAGACTGTACTTGGGCATTAGTGAAGCTTCTAGCCAAATGCTAACATGCTCATGGTACACCAGTGCTAGCTGGAGCAGGTTTTAATCAGTTACTGAGCAAACATTCACTTATTAGCACTAAACACAAGCACAGCTGAGGCAGAGGGAATAAGTTAAGTCAAACAAGTATTGGGTCAGGAACCAACGTATTTGACAACAAAAACTGACTTGAAGGTTAGCCTAAATCAGTTGCTGGAAGTGAGGCCTGCTGGCCAATGGTGGCCCTCAAAGATTTTGTGTGACACCCAAAAATTACATGAAATGCATGTATTCTATTTAAATCATCCGAAGTCCATTTCAGTACTTGGGGGAAATACGGTTGGTCATCAGTGCTGGTGCTTTAAGGAAAAGGACAGTTTAATGTGGAAGTGGAAAGGAAAAAACACTTTGGTTGAGGAGAAAAAGAGGCGTCAGGAAAAATTCATTAATGCTTGTTTCATCTGACCTCGGGACAGAGTGATCCACCTCATCTACAAACAGGTGAATTTGGTGCTCAGGGAATTTAATGTTAAAATATTATGAGAAAATAACTTCCTACAACTAGTTCATAGATGAAGAGCGTAAGGCTGAACAGTTTCAACAAGACCTATCTGCCCAACAGCCGGTCTTCAAAAATCTTAGAGTTAAAAGTGCTAAGGTGTTACACAGGCAAGCTATGTGTTAGCTCATGGAATTGCTAAACATGGTAAGCTGTTCAGTGAAGAAGAGTTTATGCAGGACTGCTTGGTAAAGGTAGCTGATATTTTGTGTCTAACCTATGCAACCCTCAATCATATGCTGACCCCTAAATTGACGCCCAGTCATCAAAACTGAGCATCCCTGCTTTAAAAGATTTAAGGGGCCAGCAAAGCTTCTACATCTTATCCTGATAGGACCATGAATGTCTGAATCAAATTTTCATGGCAATCAATCCAGTAGTTGTCAAGGCATTTGCTAAACACATTTCAACCTCATGGTGGTACTAGCAGGAAAGTCAGAGGAGCACCAACCCCCACTAGGGGATTATCAGTCAGGTTCGTCCTCTGGGGACCACAAATATTTGTACATGCTTTCATGGCAATCTATCTAGTACTTGAGTTTCAGTCTGGATCAAAGTGGTGGACTAAACAACATTGCTCTCCCCAGAGCTACACTGCTAACAAAGCTACAATAAACTAAACTGAAGGTGATCAGATGGCAACAAATGTCTCTTTCTAGGCTACGAGTCTGACAACAACCAGTTTTAGGAAGCTTGATGTGAACAATATCATGAACCTACAGTGGATCTGTGCATTTGTTGTGCACAGATGGGATTAATGTTTGCTGCATATGGTTGACTATACTGGGAGCACAGGACTACACTTTTGTATTTCATTCCTGCAGGAGAGCTAGCCCAGCAGCAGTGAAGGAGACGTGTATGACTGACCTGGAGAACAATACTGAGGCCAGCCCCAGTACACAAGCCGCCTCAGCAGACACAGAGAAACCAGAGGTGAACCTCCCAAAACCTCCATAAACTAGCAGGTTCCCAATTTGTTATTGTGCTTGTGTGATTATGGTCTGACTTTTTTCTCTCTATGCAGGAAGCAGTATCTTCTGTTGACTGAGGTTGATTCATGAACAAGCAACATTTTAAATAAAACGTTAACATTTGCCACTGTTTCCGGTGATGTTATTTCAGCATCGTTTGCTGTCACACCACCAATGTTGAGTTTTTTTGACAAACTGTTCCAGATAGTTGGCTGAGTTATGGGACTTAAATATTGTTCACACTGATCAAAGGTCAGTGGGTAACATCAGAGAATTTGGTGACCATCAGGTGAACTTCACTTTTGTAAGTCATCTTGAGGTTGCCAAGAGGTTCATTGTGAATGACAAAGGACAATAAGAATCTGGCATTAAAAGAAGCAAAACTCTAACCTAGGAGGACAGACCAAATTGCAAAAAATGCATTATTGTGTTTTGTGTAATTTCTAACCTGAAGGATGGGAGACGGCTGCCGGTGCTTAGATTTTTGATCCAAACCCCATTACGATCTTTTTCCTTGTGACTAAAGACTCATTTATGCTCACTTTTGGATACATATGTAAGGACACAGAACAAGCCTTTTGTCTGTTCATTATATCCATATTTGTGCATGTTTTCTGAAAGTTTACAGACATGGAGAAGTACCTTTTGGTTGTGGGGACAGTGTTGCCTATTTCAAGGGAGAGGTGACAAAGACATCTTAAAAATGACGGAGCAAATTAGTAATGGTGAAAATAATTCACTTGTCGCAATGTATTTAATGGCCTCAGACCACTGCCATTTACAACACTGCCTCAAATGATTTACATAGTTATGACGACCTCCACTGTCGCCATGTTGTTCCCTCGTGTGCCCTTTAGTGCCATCTAGGAATGTGTCTATGCCAACATAAAGGGTCACTTAAGTATATGGGTAGTGCCAGTTATGGGTTAAGGATTTATTTTTGTACGTAACGGGAGCATAAATGAGCCTTAACTCAAGTTATGTGTCATGAAAGACTACGGCTGCAACTACCTAATTCTTTTAATCAAGTAATTTGCTGGTTATTTTCTCAATTAAATCATTTGGTCTGCGAAATGTTAAACGCATGAAATGTACATCCTAGTTTCCCAGAGCCTAATGATGCTTTCCAGTGTCTTAATTTGTTGGACCAATAAGTCTAAATCAAATATTCATTTTACAGTGATATTCAGTGGAGAAAGGCAGCAAATCATCACATCTAAGAAGCTGAAGCTAGAGATGGATGCAATTTTTTTCTTAAAACATGAAATGATAAATCTTATCAAAAAAGATCCTGATTAATTTTCTGCCAATTGATTAATCATAAAATGTTGCAGCACTGCTAAAGACCAAATTAAAAGATACATGGCTATTCGCCATTATGATACAGTCATCTGCCATTTTAGCAATGCTAGCAGCATGGCTGCAGAGATGGCAATGTCTGTCAGTCGGTCCACCTCATAAATTCCTGCCCCTCTTTAGGATGAATTGTCATCAACTCTGTTCATCCCTTTATTTTTCCTTTAGCAACACTGACAGATTTTAATCTGTGAATACCTGAAAAAATGCAAAACTAAGAGCATACACATGGTAAACATTGCCATTAGTCATTCTGAGCATGTTAGCATGTTTATGTTAGCATTTAGCTCAAAGTATTGCTGTGCCTCTCAGAGCTGCTATTGTAACTGAGGTCTTGATTTCACTGTGGCTATGCTGAAGTACTGTGGCTGTGGTGATGTGCTTGATATACATTTAGCCACTGCACTTAGATAAAGTTTATCATTTTATTTCACTTTATACTTCTACTATACTAGGTTACAAAGGGAAATTGAACACTTTTTTACCCCACTACATTTGATAGCTAATTCCTTCATAGAAGAACATTTAATATGTGATCAGCATATGTATGATCCACTGTTACAGAGAATGACAGTTGGGAAGACTGGGGATGGTTGTGATGCTTTTTGTCTCAGCACTTAACTTGCTGAATTTCTGTGCTGTCAAATTTTGACACAAAGCATCTTTTTTTTGTCTACTACAAATAGCGATATTTCCAACATCAACTATATTACAGAACTTAACTGCTGTCCAATACAAGCAGTTCCATTGTTACAACCTGCCCCACCACTGGGGTAACTTGTAACACAACCGGGGTAAGTTATAACAATAAGAATGAAAAATTTAAAATAACAAAATTACAAAAATTATGCATAAAAAAACGGATACATAAGATAATAACCAATTCCCACTATTGTCTAACTTCCTAACCTGTACCTGTCAGATGCTTAGTACCTCATGAGTCTAAAGTAAGTCTGCTGCCTCAGTTAGGTTACCACTCAAGATGTCCTTTTGCTTTGCACTGAAGAATTTTGACTGCCGTGACACTGCTGCCACATAAGGCAGCTGTGTTGGTTCTCTGTCTCTGATGTTTTGTTATTTCTTGCAGTGTCTGCTCAGTGTTACATGGCAGAAAGAGTATTATTTGGGGACAGACCTTAATGTCTTTCCCTGCCTCACTTTTAGTATGTGTGCAGGCACACCCCTATCACTTTTAACCTCTAACTCTCCTGGCCTGTTAAAGAGATAGAGGAGATAAGATGTGTTTAGTTGTCACTGGGGTTAGATGTAACACTTTCATAAAAGCTGTTACAACCATCCCCACCCGTGTCCTCCAGTGTTTAGTGAGCTGCAGCAGCATGGCGGTTTAAGATGAAAGATGAAGATGAAATACCTCACATTTTTTTCTAAGAGACTACTCTTTAATCTAATACAAATTACATTATTCTAATTTCAACAATATCAGTACTTACTGAAAAATATAGACCTGCATCTAGAAATTACTTTCATATCTGAAAATCAGTGTTTTGGCTGTAAAATCTGCACACTTCTTCACACAACTATGAAATTTCCCATGCAAGCTCAGGAAGGAAGTGGTCATCCAATAAAACATCGTCGGTCGCCCCTACATCATGCTGGCCAGGACAGGGGCGCCATGTTGTGAGATACGTGCTCTGTTACCACTGTTAACAGAAGTGCACTCAATCCAAAAAGAGAGAGTTTAAAATGTGAGTGGAGGTAGCGCATCAGGGTCTGTAATCCAGCCTTGCGGTGCCAAGTCATATGGACCTATGCTGTTTAATGTAATTAGTTTGTCCAAATACTGTTGCTTGACCACTGTAGCAGGCACAGGTAACAGAGTGTGATCCTAACAAGATGGCGCCTCCCTCCAAAAAAATTAACATGGTAAAAAAATTAACACAGTGTGGCTTTAACTTCACATTATCCATAGATGAAACAATCCCACATTTGTTCAAAGCTCCACCTTAAATAACTACAATATTAATCTCATACTTGTCTTTGCTTTTATTATGACATTTTAAACTACATGTTTCAACATCAAAATCTGGAATATCCATAATTCACACAAAAGAGTAAAAGGAGCTTTCCCAAAAGTTTGAGTCACTGTGAAATTATGAATACCTACGGTACATATATAAATGCACCACACAACTCCACTTTTGTGTTTCTTTTTACTTGTCCTCTATATGTGAGGTGATCTTTTGCCTCTGCAGCCCTGAATGTAACTGTAAAGTCCCCTCACGTTTATTTATTGTTTTTAAATTGCACTTTGGTCACTGTTGGGGACTGAGGGAGTGGGGACAAAGTTCACAGGGCGCCTGTAAGGAGGAGGGGGTAAAGAGGAGGAAGGTTAAAAAAAAAAGAAAACTGACCTTTGAAAGCAAAACAGCAGGTGGAGAGCTAAAACCAGGCAGCTCAGTACACACTGAGAGGAAATTCAACACAGGGAAAATGAAAGTATATGTTCTTTAAGCTGAAGAGGGACTACAAATATTATGAGGCCCAACGCTGCCTGTCTTGCTCTCATCTGAGTGTGGCAGTGCACACGAGCGTTTGTTTGCAAGGCAGCAGTGACATAAGGCATCAGCGTAATGGAAGACAGGATAGAGGAGAGGGCCGGGGCAGCCATGGCGAGGCCGAGCCGTTTGACCGCCCTTCAGGAGCAGCTGATCTGGGCCCTGCTGGGATCTGGACTGTCCCGGGATGTCCTGGTCCAAGCCGTAGGGGAGCTGGAGCGAGATAGGGCAAGTGCTGGTGTCGAGAGAGGAGAGAGGGGGGACGGAGAGAGCTCTGAGGAAGGAGAGATGGATTTCCCACCACCTATATTCCGAGAGCTGGAGAAGCTTTCCCCAGAAGAGGCAGCTAAATTGAGGAATGAAGTTGACCGCCTACTGCAGTAAGTAGATCCAAAGCTTCATGGCAACAGCAAAATCAATTTAATCTCTCACTTACTGCTATTCTCATGCAGCAAGTTGTGCAGGACCTGATCGGGTCAAATTTCCAAAATGCCTTGACTGATTCATCAACACTGTTTTTGAATTCTTCTCTTCTCTTTCACCTCCTGTATATGAAAACTAAGCACCTGAGAGCTGAAACAACAGTTTACCTGATAATATCCCCTTTTCCTTTATTCTTCTTAAGCTTGGATCCCCTCTCTTTACAAAATCCTCCCTCCTTCTCCTGCTTCTCTGTCTCTCTCCCTCTGCAATCTGGCTTCTGAGGCGAATTTAAAGAGGGTTCCTCCTTTGCTAGTTACTAATTACCCACCCCCATCATTATTCTCTGGCCATTTCTTAATAAATAAGCTACATGCATAGGTGAAGATTAATGGAGTAGGGCTGGTCATGTGAGGCAATGTTTACACAAGGCGCCAGTGATATTTCTACATCGTTTTGGGCCTCTTTTCTGATATTTGGAATACACTGTGCACATCTTACACATTACTGAGATGTGTATTTTTAAAAAGTATTAAACATTCACTAATCAGCTTATTAAAATAGATTTTATTACAGTTTTCTGTTTAAAAAAATATCTGAAAATAGGTTGTGTGCTGAATTAGAATCTTGTAAAGTCAGAAATTTGAAATTTTGTGTCTTTTATCTGCTCCTGCCCTGAGAGTTAGGGAGTGTTAAATTAGGATTCATAAACCTTTCACACCTTTTTTCCCCTCCAGTGATCTGAAAGGGCTGGACTTTGCCCCTTTGTGCTTTCCCTTATCTCTCTGTCAATAAGCCTCTGTCTACTTCCGTCTGAGTGGCCATGCATTATG